ATTAATCGAATTTTTTGATAGTAGTATTAGCACTAATCTAAAATCAAATTTTTTATATTAGAAAATTAGTTTAACTCTTGTAGAATTGATGGTTGTTTGGTGTATTATTTATAAACTTAAGTAGGTTTTGTTTTTGTGTTTCGTCTTAGGTCACCATTCAACTATTTTAGATTTTTTTTAAAACCCATGTTCAGATTGACTATCTGAGATTCTTGGTTAGTGCTATTTTTCTACCCTATGATTAAATTGTTTTAATAGATTCTTGAAACTCTAGTTAGAATTATATTTTGGATATATGAATTATATTTTGATTATATATAGTTCATTATCTTATTTGTTACAAATTTAATGACGAACTCTTAAACTGGAACCTAATTAAACAAGTTTATTTTTTAATCAGCTATGAATAGGTTCCTGACTCCGCCCTTGTGAACGAGTTAGGTTGACGGGTGGCTCTTGGACTGGGGTTTGGGCTGAGTAATGAATTTGAGGACAAATTCAAACTCTTTTTTTAAAGATATTAGAGGACAAATTAATTATCGAGTTATTGAATTTTGAATCTATTTTTTTTTAATCAAATAACAAAATTCGCAAATAACCGACCAAGGACAACCCTAGGTACATTAGACTAGTCCAAATGTTACCTTGTCAAGCATTTATAGCAGTGAGCTGTAGGCAGACAGTGCGCAATGCAGGAAGTAGAAAACAGCTAGTGCCCAGAATATCGACGGCACACCAACTTTTACTTCTCTGTCTCCTCATTTTTTTGACATTAAAAGGATAGAGTATTATTAATTATTTAATATTAATTTAAAAATACAAGAGGACTAATTTTTAATTTGAATTAATATGAGACACAAATAACTTAATTTGTATAAAAAAGGAGTAATTTTAATTTGAATTTTTATTTTAGAGGAATTTATGGTTGATTATGAATATACTAATAAAGAAGGCCTTTTTCTTTTTTTTTTTTATTAAATTGTTAAAGATAATTAACTAAACAAATGGAGTTAATATTAATTACTGCACACCTCAAGTACAAAATAAAATAACTCAAGCACTGACTTTGACTTGATTGACATCTCATCACTCTCAAAAAACATTTTGGTAGGTATAACTTATCATACGTAGAAGCTGACTATTTTTTTTTTTTTTAACAAATTAATGAGCGACAATAAATGTATTACATTTTGTTGGTTGCATACACGAATTAGTTTTGGATTTTAAAATTTTAATAATGGGTCTATTGTTAATTCAATGATAACATTTATTAGATTAACAAATTAGTTATAAGTTTGTCGGGTTTAACTTAATTAAAAATTTTATATCACTCCTATATATACTAAAAACTTTTTTTATCATAGGTATACACACCTCATCACACTATACAGTTATTTGTAAAAAATTTTATTACACTTATATCGAGACTAAAGATAAGGTTTCATCCTATACTTTAAACATAGAACAATAAGTTCGAATTTAAACCTAAACATTAAACAAAAAAAAATTTAAGTTGTTAACCACTTAGACCAATTGTTCCTTGGTTATATATATTCGAAACACTCCTACCATATCTCTCACTCATCTCCATCAAACTGCCCCACGCTCTCTCTCCTTCCCTTCCTAAACTGAAAATAACAACTCTCTATCTATCTCTCTCTCTGAAATGCATGCACGGTAGAACACTTTTTCACTAGACCTTCATTTTCGTTTCTTGTAACTCTCCAGTGGTTGAAAAATATGGTCTACGACAGGCTTGGATCCGCCGTGCGCCATGGTTCTTCAACCCGCGATACACTCCCACTCCACCCAGACAAAGCCACTTCAACACCTCCGGCCACCCGAAACTCCAAACTGAAATTCCTCATCATATTCTCTGCGGCGACACTCATTGTTGCTTCGGCCGTATCAGTGACCCTACTCGTCGGACTCCGAACCAGAGCCACGGGACAATCGTCCGTTCACAGTGAGCACCGAAAGCTTACCCAAGCCATTTCCAGAACCTGCAGCCAAACTCGGTACCCAAATCTCTGTCACAACTCACTCCTCGACTTCCCGGACTCACTCTCCGCCTCCGAAAAAGAACTCGTCCACATTTCCGTCAACATTACTCTCCAACACTTCAGCAAAGCCCTATACGTATCCTCGACGATCAACAATCTCATTATGGACACGCGTGTAAGGTCCGCTTACGAAGATTGCCTCGAGCTCTTGGACGACTCTGTGGATCTACTCACGCGCTCTCTCACCTCCGTCTCGCTGGCCGGCTATAGAAGTGGAGCTAAAGTGGGGTCCACACAGGACGTGATGACGTGGCTAAGCGCGGCTTTGACCAATCATGACACGTGTACGGATGGATTTGCGGAGGTGAACGGTTACGTGAAGGATCAAATGGAGGAGAGACTGAAAGACTTGTCGGAATTAGTGAGCAATTGCTTGGCTATATTCTCGGCGTCCGGTGGGAACGAGGATTTTTCAGGGATTCCCATACATAATCGTCGTCGGAGGCTGTTGGAATCGGAGTCGGTGGATGATTTTCAAGCGAAACGTGTGCATTTGCCGAAATGGTTGTCTCGGAGGGATCGGAGGTTGTTGGATACGCCGGTGACGGCGATTCAGGCGGATATTGTGGTGTCTCAGGACGGTAATGGAACGTGCAAGACGATTACGGAAGCGATTAAGAAGGCGCCGGAGTACAGCTATCGCCGAACTATAATCTACGTGAGGGCTGGAAGGTAACTCCACATGCACATTAAAAATAAAATAAAAAAAGTAAAAGTTTTTTACTGCTTTCTTTTAAGACATAAAATGTCTGTAGTGACCCTATCATTCTTTTTAGAACTAAGTATACAATTTCGCTTTGATTTATATAATTGAGTGTTCAAAGTAAAAGTAATTATTGTCAATTTAACACCTAAAGTCTCACTTTTAGTATTTAAGTTCCCAAATGTTTAAACTATGTTTTCTTAACTTTTAGAAGCGGTTTGATAATTGAGCTTAGTCTTTGTTGTTTAGATGCTTTAGATTCAATTATTTCTTATATTTACTAGGGCTTCTCACTTTTATCTTTTTAAGGACATATTTTAACTCAATTTAAATCACTTATTCTGTCGTTGAGTTTGGCACAAACTTGAAACACTTGTAGCCAAAAACAAAAAAAATTATGTTCTTTCTTTTTTTGAACTTTTCGCAATTTTGGGGTATGATTGAAATACTTAGAGAGATTTTTTTTTTCCGGTTCAACAATTATGAGTATTTTAGTCAATTTATACATACCTTGACTAATCTCTTTCTCTTTCTAATCTGATCAAAAGCGAATTATTCACGTCAAAATTAAGGTATTTATAAGAAATAAAGGGATTTTATTATTTGACATCAAAAAAATATTAAAATTTAAAATAAAGACATTTTAATTTATATATCGTTCTGCTACCACTTAAGCAACCCTAGGGTAGGGTTGGTTATGAGATTATGAAGAAGTGAAGTGGGGGCTAAAATGGGATTTAACGAGAAACTTCTTTGTTTGCTTTCAGGTATGTAGAGGATAATTTGAAGGTGGGGAGGAAGAAAACGAACTTGATGTTTGTCGGTGATGGGAAGGGCAAGACGGTCATTACGGGAGGTAAAAGTGTCTTCGATAATGTGACGACATTCCACACCGCGTCTTTTGGTAAATTCCATTTTTCACCACATTTTGTTTTGTTTACTTTCCTTGTTTGTTTATTTAATTAATGTATAGTTCCAAAGAGATAAAAAAAAATAAAAAACATGGGCCGTAATATATACTCATGCTATGCACGGTGACCTGTGATTCTAGCTTTTTTGAACTTTTTTTTTTTTTTTTTGGGTTGAGAGAAAATGAAGTTAGAATGATCGAATTTATGAGCTTAAGGTCTACCAGTTGGACGATAATTATTAATTTAAAAAAATTATTAACATAAAGCAATAATTTAAGTAATAACAAGTATAAGTTATAAATTTAAATATCTTGAATTCGAATTGTGATAATTCTTTGAGGTTAAATCATGAGAAATTTATTTCTTATAAATTTTTTAGTTCCGGCATGAATAATTTATTTTTGACCGGATAAAAAAAAAATTAATTTAGATACGCATAAATTAATTCGAACAATCTTAACCATTAAAAAAATAAAATTATTACTCTAAAGAGGGGCCGGAAGTAGGGGGTTATGAGAGGGAGAGAAGGGGTTGGGGGTGGGGGAGACAAGAAGAACAAACACAAGAACAAGAACAAAAAAAAAAAACAAAAACAAAACAGGCAAGGACACCTACGTCCAGTTTGAAAAAGACCAAAATGGTCTTGAACTACATGGGATGCCCAACAGCATCTTTACTACTACATCTATCAGTCTGTTTTTCTCACACATGCATGCAAGAACACGTGTCCTTTGTGATTGTTTTTCAACACAGATAATCAATGTCTGTCCTGTGACCAGTTTTCTTAATGGAAAACAGGGGAGGGATGGTGATATATGACCCCATTGAACATTTGTGGCTGTAAGTATACAGAACATCACATTATTGGAGGTGGGTCATGGACATCTCATGGTGATGAAAGTCGTCCTCCTTTCACAAACCATCAAACACACACACATTCTCTCTCCTATTTAGCATTGTTGGCCCACTTGCTTCCATAGATACCGAGTAAGGAGGAGTTTTGGGTTTAGCATTGTTAAACGTTCCGAATAGTTTGACTTTTTGGTTTACACTCGATTAGATTTTGAGTTGTTTAGACTCATTTTAAGTTTTGTAAAAGATCCAAATCTAATTCAATTTATATGGCTCCACTTAGCACAAATTTGTTGTTATATATAAATAACTCTAATTTTGTTACAAAACAACCCTTATTTAAAGATACTATCTAGTGGAATGGTCTAATAGGGTACTAGCCGAATTTTTATTCTAAGGTTGGAGGTTCGAGTCTTGACATTCACATTAAACTCAGTGATCGACCGTTATACTAACCTAGTTATGTTAGTTTATGAATAGTTTGACTTTGGTTTACGCTCAATTAGATTTTGAGTTGTTTAGACTCATTTAAGTTGTGAAAAATGAATCAATTCTAAATATTAGAGTTCTAAACTAGTTTTGTAAACGATCCAAATCTAATCCAATTTATATGGCTATACTTAGCTCAAATGTGTTGCTATATATAAATAACTCTAATTTTATTACCAAACAATCCTTATCCAAAGACAAAAAATCTTAATCTTACTCCCAAATAGCCCCGCACCATGTACACTCTCTCTTTCTTCTCTTTTTGTCTTTAAGAAATTTATACTTGTAGGGTTTAAGTTTATGGGTGATTGTTTGTACTAATTTTGATTAATTTTATTGAGAAATATATTAGTTTGGGATTAATTATCAACATTCTAAGGTTTAATTTTTGAAACATTTTATCTAAGAAATTGTAATTTTTCTCAAGTTTTTTTTGTAGTTTAAAGGTTAGTGCACTTAGACTAATTTTTTCTTCAATTAGATCAAAGGCAAACCATTTATAATGGGACAAGGGTATTCGGAATAAATTCTTCATGATCTAATCCCAATAGTTGTTAAAATTTGAATTCAGGACACTTAGATTTATAGTTTACCTCTCTTAACACTTGAACTTGGCTTTTCTTGAGTTCTGTTTGAATGCTCGCAAACTTCTATGAAGCTGAACTTAAATACAAATCTAAACTCAATAATCTAACTTGAACAATTACGAGTCGAATATTAGCTTATTCAAACTTGGCTCAACACTCCTTTACGCTAATATTTGCAATTGATTGCCATGCAGCGGCTAGTGGTGCAGGTTTCATTGCACGAGACATCACATTTGAGAACTGGGCTGGACCAAGCAAGCACCAAGCAGTGGCACTCCGTGTCGGAGCTGACCACGCCGTAGTCTACCGGTGCAACATCATCGGATACCAAGACACCCTCTACGTTCACTCCCAACGCCAATTCTTCCGAGAATGTGATATCTATGGAACAGTGGACTTCATCTTCGGCAACGCCGCCGTGGTCTTCCAAAACTGCAGCCTATACGCCCGAAAACCCAATCCTTTCCAGAAAAACACAATCACAGCCCAGAACAGAAAAGACCCAAATCAGAACACAGGAATATCAATCCATGCATGCAGGATTTTAGCCACAACCGATCTCCAGCCGGCGAAAGGTGGCTTTCCGACGTATCTCGGCCGACCATGGAAACTGTACTCAAGAACAGTCTACATGATGTCAGACATTGGCGATCACATTCACCCAAGAGGTTGGTTGGAGTGGAATGCAACATTTGCACTTGATACACTATACTATGGTGAGTATATGAATTTTGGTCCTGGAGGGGCTGTTGGGCAAAGAGTGAATTGGCCAGGGTATAGAGTGATCACATCAGCAGTGGAGGCTAGTAAATTCACAGTGAGTCAATTTATATATGGGTCTGCATGGTTACCTTCCACTGGTGTGGCTTTCTTGGCAGGGCTATCAGCTTAGGTTACGCCCTAAAGCATGATGCAGTATAAAAAGGCTCGCGTTATTAGGGTTTGGGATGGTCATTGTTTAAGACTCCAAACCGATAATTTGATGGAGGGTTGGTATATAGTTTGCTCTTCCATTATTTTGTAAGGTTTATAATTAATTGGTCTAATAATGTGCTTTTTCTTTCGTCGTTGATCTGACTCAAGATTTTCAGGTAACAATTTTCGGGTTTTTTCTTGTAATAATAGTTAGTACTAAATCTTTTGGAAGAAAATACATTCTTATTATGTTACATAAAAAAAATAAAAAAAATGTAATTTCAAAGTTTAAGGAGTTATGTAATTTCCCGAGTTTTTTTATCACTTTGAGATTTTAGGAGTGTCAAGTATCACGAAGTCTAATACTTTCATGTGGAAAGATTGCTTCCATGACTTGAATAAATGTTGCTAAGGACATGATCAGCTTGAGGGTGGCCATGTATATATATATATATATATATATGGCTGTGCAACTATGACTTAATTGAAACCACATTTTGATAATTAAAAAAAAAAAAGGTAGACACCCAATTAAATGAAAAGAAATGCTGAGGTCAATATTTGAAATGAAATTTGCATGTAACCTGGTTTGGACATTTTAATTGTTGAACAAAAAAAAATATCTGAAGGGTTCCACTATGGTATCAAAAAATTAGTTTAATTTTTTGGTATTGTACTTTATTTTTTTCCTTCTAATGAAAATTTGGTAAGTGTAAAAATTGTTTATTTTATTATTTCACTATAATTTATTAATTGCATAATCAATGGTTAAGAATTAATCGAAAGAAAATCAAAGGCCTAAAATCATTTAGAGATAAGGTATTAAAAAAAAAATAGACATCATACCCTGATACAAATTATAAAAAGTCCTAAGTCAATACGAGTATAGAGATAACATGAGATGCTATGCTGCAAAATGTGAAACAAAGAACTGTGTGATGTGCCCTTCCTGCCTTTTTTTTAAGATGAGATGTGAGGCTTAGCTTTAAAGCAATCCGTCGGTGGAATTCATTAGAATAAAATGGTTAGACCTATTAAACAATGACACACAAACTCACCAACGGGACTAAATGTTGAGTCTAACAATTATATATAATGTTAGTATTATTATATGGTGTAATCGTTTAATAATNAAACTCACCAACGGGACTAAATGTTGAGTCTAACAATTATATATAATGTTAGTATTATTATATGGTGTAATCGTTTAATAATAAATAAACAAGTAAACCTCATTATTTTGATATATGACGGTTATTATCGTACATGAAGAATAAATTTTTTGAAAGAGTGAGTTTTATGTTACATAATTATTGAATTATCGTTTAACGAATGTACCATGTAATCATTCCGCTCAATATTTACTCCACCCACCGACGCTANTTATTGAATTATCGTTGAACGAATGTACCATGTAATCATTCCGCTCAATATTTACTCCACCCACCGACGCTACCGTGACCAAGTGGGCAAATACCAAGTGACATATAGCTGGTCCACTGCTAGGGTCCACGACTATGATCTTTGGATAAAGGCTAACCCCAATGGTGAGGCCAGCTGCCATCAGTTTCATGAGGGTTGACTGAGTGAGATCACTCATTGGTGCTAGTCACTAGTTTGTTCCACCTGTAATAAATGAGAGTTGGGATTGAAAAATAATCTTGCAGTACTATATGGAAATAAAAAAATTAACAATAAATTTTAATTTGAGTTATTTGTGATCGTACGATACCGAAAAGAGCGTTAAGGCTGCTCACGACAACCACGAGAGTTTGACAGGAATGAACAGTTTCAAAGAGGCAAAAGTAATAACTGTTAACCNTAATTTGAGTTATTTGTGATCGTACGATACCGAAAAGAGCGTTAAGGCTGCTCACGACAACCACGAGAGTTTGACAGGAATGAACAGTTTCAAAGAGGCAAAAGTAATAACTGTTAACCATAGTTCAAATAATAATAAGAAAAAATTTTGAATTCGAATTTAAAAAAAAAAATTAGACCAGATTATAAGAAAGGAATATTCTAATTCTGATACAAATATCGNAAGGCTGCTCACGACAACCACGAGAGTTTGACAGGAATGAACAGTTTCAAAGAGGCAAAAGTAATAACTGTTAACCATAGTTCAAATAATAATAAGAAAAAATTTTGAATTCGAATTTAAAAAAAAAAATTTAGACCAGATTATAAGAAAGGAATATTCTAATTCTGATACAAATATCGTATCTTAGATCGATCCAAAAAAAAGATTATCAAAATCGTGCTTATTTGATCCAAACACTCTGAGCATTCAAATAAAAAAAAGGCAAAGTATAGCCAGCTGTGGATGGGTGGTCCTTGTCTACTCAAGTTGCTCAAAGCTCTTCATGTCCTCTTCATGTCTGTCCACTTCTGTACCAGCTAGAAACTAGCTGCACTTAGACTTTCTGTGGACCTATTATGTGCAATGCAAAGGAATTCCCTGATTTCAACGTTCTTGTGAATGGTGTATGCACACCCACAAGAACCTTGCTACCCCACAAACTCTTGAAAAACGAAAGAGCAACANCACTTAGACTTTCTGTGGACCTATTATGTGCAATGCAAAGGAATTCCCTGATTTCAACGTTCTTGTGAATGTTGTATGCACACCCACAAGAACCTTGCTACCCCACAAACTCTTGAAAAAGAAAGAGCAACCGAGGAGAAAATAAAATTGATCAGGCTACCACAATTTATGTGAGGAATTGTTTTGAGACTCCATCATCATGCATTAAGATTGATGAACTGGAGACCTAAGACACCAACAAATTACAAGAAATATCAGGATATACACCCACAGAAAAAACCAACGATGTTGTCTAAAATCAGGGAAGAAAAANCATGCATTAAGATTGATGAACTGGAGACCTAAGACACCAACAAATTACAAGAAATATTAGGATATACACCCACAGAAAAAACCAACGATGTTGTCTAAAATCAGGGAAGAAAAAGAGATATAAAGAAATTAAAGTTCTCTTCATTACACTTTCACTCAACAGTAAATCACCCATTAGTAATTTAAGTAGGATAGGTGGATCCCTCACCCATATATGATGAGTTATTCGGCAAAGTAAAATAGAGTGAAAGTATAATAGAAATGATCTTGATCCGAATAGAGAGTACATGTAGGCAAAAAGAGTCGTTTGTTAAACAATTTAGAAGCTAAAACTTCGGCAACAGTGCACAATTCAAGCATTCCAATACATCAACGCAGCAGGAGAAGTTGGCAACGTTTAACAACACATATATGGAATGACACAAACACGAAAACCATAAAAATGAATTCCAAAATTAAGTCTCTCAGCTACAGAGGTTTGGTATGCACACCCCAGCATCTGGATTCTGTTGTTCCTTCCATATTCTTCCTGTGACTCTAAGCTTCAGCTCCTTCCTGTCCCCGCCGGAGAAGAAAAGGGCCATGTTCCGTTGGATAATGAGACCATCATGGCTGTCCCTTACTCTCCGATGGCTATCTCGGATGCTGCGTGGCGTGCCCTCCCATATGAGCTTCCTGCCATTTGCTCCTACCTCTAAGCTGTAGCTGTAATTGCGAGCCTCAACCTCATCACCCATAAAACGGAGAAATGCCATGTACACAGGGGCCATGCCAAGCTGGAAGGCTTCAAAGTGAAGGCAAAAGTATTGACCAAAACAATGAAAAACCTGACACAAGCAGAACCAAACAAGATGCTTTGAGACACCAGTAAAAGGAGAACTCGCAACATCAAAGAGTGTGGTTTGTGACCAGTGTTGTTTAGTTTTCATCCACTGAGATTTCACAATCCAAGAAGAGAAAAGTTGCTTCCAATGCTAAGCAACTGGAACATCTATTCGCATCTTCAAATAAAAGCTACTCTAACATCACATATATTGGTTGACCAAATGGATTTAACGTTGCCAAACATGTTATTTTTTCCTATTGGCATCAAGAAGTATGGATATGTGAAAACAACATGGCATGGAAATGTTCAATTTCTGGATTGAATTCACATGACTAGGAGCAGAAAACCAAATAAACCTAGAAAACTATTTAAGTTTAACAGAAATTATGCGCACACACACACACACACNCATGACTAGGAGCAGAAAACCAAATAAACCTAGAAAACTATTTAAGTTTAACAGAAAAATTATGCGCGCACACACACACACACATAGTAAGAGGATTATTATGAACATTTATCATTAGCATGCAATATTTTACCAATTCAACTTCCCAGTAGAAACAAAGAGATTCGTTTCCAAGATAAAATAAGATGCCTTTAATTCCATGTTTTCAGATGGCCTCAAACAAAGCCATCTGCTGGATTGCCCACACAGATTTTGTTGCACAATTGCTCAACTAAGCCACCTGCACAGTAAGGAGTGTGCCGAGAAAGCTTTGGCAGGAACAAGCTCTGGCTCAGCGACTCACAATTAGATACTATATATGTGTAACTAAACCAAGCACACGATATACTTTCAACAGTAGTTCAGCTTGTGGAAAATTCAATTCAAAAATGGAAGCAAAGAACTTACAGTAAGCATCCAGGTGGCATTTTCTACTTCGCGCGGATTGGACTTTACATAACGATGATTGAAGGTGCAACCAGTGTGCATGTCCACTTTGTGGTCATCTTTCAGGTGGTTAACCAGATAAGGAATGTCCCCGGTAACGGAGCACTCTGATCCAGCATATGGGCAATTGTATGGTCTAAAGTTGCACAATGACTCGTGCTTGAGTTTGCTGTAATATGGAAATATCCCCGGGCACCCCAACGAATAATATCTGCAGGGCAGTTCAAGTGATTCTGCTACCTTCTCCAGTGCTAAGCACCTGATATCTCCAAGCTCTTGTCTACAAGTTGGGCATCGGTTGTGCACCCTTGTTTTACAGGTGGAACATAATGTGTGTCCATTGTGACACTTCAAAGAAGCAAATCAATGATCAATTGTTGCTCATCCTTCGTAAGCACTAGTGCTATATTGACAAAAAAAGTATCACAACATAAACAAACTTTTCACTGCCTAAAACAGAAACATTTGCCACGGCACGACAGTCATACGAACACCCAAGTAAAATATTCAGTTATATAGGTTCCTCATTCCAAGAAGAGACTACAAGAACCAAAACAAAAGGTTAACATTCTAAGTATTCAAGGTTATACCGTAATTCATCAATACTAAAATTTAGAGAGTTCTACTTCAAACATCTAGAGGAGCCAAAAGATGACACTTTTAATAATCAAACTATTTGCTCCTATGATGGAACGAAGAACAAAAGAAGATTTTATTTTTTAAAACCCTAGATAGTGAAATGGCGTCGTTTCACTACCTAATGTTTAAAAAAATTACGTCTATTTTAAAAGTTAAAATATATATAAAATAAAATAAAATTTAGACCTATTTTGCCCCGGTATTGGACAACTCGTATGTATCATCTCGTATCGGATACATCGTATCGGATACATCGTATCGTTTATTGCATGATACTATGCAAATCTAATATAATTGAGCGATACATATCATTTTCTTCATGCATTAAAACGTATCGTATAATACTAATAACTATGCCTCAATCCAATGATATCCTATATTACTAAAATCTTCAAAATGATTCAAAACTTTNATCTAATATAATTGAGCGATACATATCATTTTCTTCATGCATTAAAACGTATCGTATGATACTAATAACTATGCCTCAATCCAATGATATCCTATATTACTAAAATCTTCAAAATGATTCAAAACTTTGGCAAGATCATAGCTTGCAGTAAGCCAATAATCTCCATATATTCCAATGGCGATCTTCAAAGTAATTGTTAAGCAACAAGACTGCAGCATCAATCACATCCCACGATTATATCCGGCGAACCTAATGCAGCTGCACTGAAAATATAGAGCATAAAACAAAATTTAAGATGAAATAGTACCACCATTGGCGCATAGATTACTTTCTAATATATCAAAAAGAGTGCCAAACACAGCCCACAACATTGCTCATTGAGACAAAATAATAAATATACATAACCAGACAGTTTATTTTTCTGATGAGATAACCAGACAGATTAGGATTCCCACTGGAGATATTACTATGCCAGGCTTTCATTAAACAGCAGCTTGTTTACCAAATTAATGCACAGTAAAAAGAAAAACAAAAATTGAGAAAAAAAATTGTGACATGTTTTTTCAAGGTAGTAATCACATTTTACTCTATGAGTAAAAAAACTGACCACTACGCACAGCCTATGGACAAGATTTGCATTAAATTAATGAAACAGATTTATGTGACAAGATTTGCAGTCCACAATGAATTACCAGAGGCACCTATTACCCACCACGGTGGTAATTCAAGTTTTATCCCACAATGATCAACAACATTCAACACAGCAACCGCCAAAAGCAACCCTAACCAGTCAAACCCAAATTAAATACAATTTCCACACAATCCTTAGAACTCATGTCCATTCCACTACCCTCTTAATCAAAATCCAACCAAAACCTAACCTTGAACCCATAATTCCGTCTAATCCCAAATTTAAATTTCTTCCAAACCCCCAACCCCAAAGCCCTCAAATTCAACAAATCGAACACTTCCTAGTTGCATATGCAGAAAAAATACACATATCTACAAACACAGAGAAAAACTCATAAAGGAAAGAAGCAGAGAGCAGACCTACCTGGTGGATTGGGGGGTACATAGAATTGGTGCAAACAGGGCATTCCAGCAATTCATGGACGCTTGTAGGAGCAATTCCAGAAGACACGCCGTGATTATTGTGAGGCTTTGACGAGTATTGATTCGGAGATTGATGATAATTATGAGGATGATGAGAATTGATCTCTTCATCTTCCAAGCCATCTATAGACGATACGCACTCAATGTTATCCGAATCCATTCTCTATGGATAAAATCCCAAATACCCACTTCGAAAAAATAAAAATGCGAGTTTAAAAAATTGATGGGTTCATCAAAATTTTCTTGGGTGTCCTATTATTTTCCTTCACTTTCTAATCGTTTCTTCTTTCAGGCAGGGTCCGATGGGATAAAAGAAGAACCAAAAGAACTTGAAAGAAAATGGAAGAGAGATTCAGATAGAGAGATTGGCGAGATCGATTTCGAAGAACCAAACATCCCCCTTTTTCCTAAAAAAGAAGGCCCCTTTCCTCCTCCTCTCTCTTTCTCTGTTACTTTTTCCCTCCCTCCCTCCCTCTTTTTCTGAGTTGCTGTGAAGAGAGAGATATAGGGGAAAGATTTCCTTGGTAAAATTTTTCGATTGAGAAAATAAGGAATTGGTTGGCAATTTAGTGTTAAGAAAACTAAACAATTGGTTTTGTGTCAACCCCACCCCCAACACCACCACCAAAACCCC